CCACTATGCAAATAAAAGTTACTGGATGACACGGAATATGCTTTTGAAAACTACAAGCACCTTTAAGACTTGATGGTCCAGAGCATTGATTTGACATCTGAAGTACCCTGGCTTGCACAACTGATTTTTCCTCTTATGTGTCTGAATTTCTTAAAAGAAGAGCATGGCCACAAACTAGTTAAGAATCACTAGCTCCTGCCCTGGCTGGTGTGGTGCAGTGGGTTAAGCACCGTGCTGTGACTGGAAAGGTCGTTTTTTTGTAGTTGTTTTTTGTTTTTTTAAGAGGGAGAGAGGCAAGGACACACCTGATGAGTGGTGTTGCTCTTATTTCAGTCCGGGGCAAAGCAGTTGTACAGTCCTTAGTTCATCCTAGCTTGTTGCCTGTGTTGGTGGCCAGAGCTGGTTCATGCCTGGGGCACATAAAAAAAAAAGAGAAACATCAATGTGTGGTTGCCTCTCATGCACCCCCTACTGGGGACCTGGCCTGCAATCCAGGCACATGCCCTGACTGAGAATCAAACCAGTGATCCTTTGGTTTGCAGGCCGGCACTCAATCCACTGAGCCACACCAGCCAGGGTGAAAGGTTGACAGTTTGATTCCCAGTCAGGGCACATGCCTCGATTGTGGGCTGGGTCCCCTCTTGGAGGTGGTGTGCAAGAGATAACCTATCAATAAGTTTCCCTCTCTTTCTCTCTCCCTTCCCTTTAAAAAAAAAAAAATCTTAAAAATAAAAAAATCCCTGGGCCTCAGGCTACATGTGAGGATTATTCTGGGAGATTTTGAACAGTTTTCCAGGCCCCATCATAGACCTCCAAAGAAGGAAAAAAGAGACTTTGTTAAATGCTTTGCCCAAACTCTGATGCACAGCTGTCTTCTGTCCTGTCATTGGTTGAGCCCAGCCTTCTGTGCCAGACTTGGAGCAGTGCACTCCTCCTGGGGCCAGGCCATCTCGCTGTTAGTGCCTGCAGAGCTGATAGACAGTCGTTCATTTCCGCCACTTGCCACACTTTGGCCTGGAGTGGGCCTCATGCTCTCTACAGTTTGGGGAATGAGCTTTCCCCTGCTTTGAAGAGCTGAGAAGCACACCCAGGCTCTTTCATATTCTGCAATACACTGAGATCCACATCTGGGCTCAGAAATGGACTTCATTGTGAGTGGCATTGCTCTTCCTCCCTCATTACTTACCCTGTATTTCTGCAGTCTGCTTTCCCCCACTGGGAGAAGGAACGCGTAAGCTGCCTGGTTCTGCTTTCTTTTGAGCTCTCCTCTTGGTTTGTCAGCATTGCACCATCAGCCCGGAGCAGCTGACGGGGGACTGCTGCTTGCTCTGAGCAGAACCGAAACAAACTTTTGTGGGGCATATTTTCTAAGTTTCTCTCATTGTTGGCTTTCCTCTTCCTAACTTGGTTCTTCTAAAGTGGGGCCTCTCTCACACTTTTTTTTTTCAGGTCCTTTTGTCCAACATTGGAAATTCTAAATTTGAAGTCTGAGTTTATGTTGATTTTTTTTTTTTCAACTGTCCTTCCCCAGTTCTTCATTTAGAGGATCATTCTCAGTTACAGAGATACAATTTTGCCTGAGGGTTTGCCAGCCCCCTTGAGTCATCATGCCCTTTTGAGTTTCATGCCTTTTAGATGAACCTGTGGTTTCTCTGAATGACTTGAATCCATCTTCTCTGAGTTGTTGGTAGAGGTGTGATTGGTATTTTGGATTGAACAGTTCTTGTCTGTCGGACCATCTTGTGTAGTACAAGACTTTTAGCATCCTGGTCCCTGATAATGCCAGTGGTTCTCAGCAGCTGGGCTCTTGAGGATATTGGGAAATCGGGGTGGGGTGGTATCACAATGCCTGGCATCTAATGGGTGGGGCTGGGGATACCCAAGTGCAGAGTCCTGTTGGATGCTAGCACCACACTATTGAGAAACCCTCTCAGGGGGCGGTTGCCCAGTGTTCCCTGGAGGTTATGAGCTGGTTTGCTTGTTTGTTTGTGTTGATTTCTTTCACTTCTGTCTTATAATCAGTTCTTCTTTGATGGTTAGAATTGTGCAAAGAAGGTTACCTCTTCCCTCTTTGGTGAGCTAAACTTGACAGCAAGGTAAGTTGACAGTTTATCCAGTAGCTGCACTTCTGAGCCTACCGGCCCTACCACCATTATTTCTGTCCCTTCTTTGGCCAGGAGGTGTGTGGCCTCCTCCTCCCACAGTAATACTTTTGTCTTTATTCAGGTGTCTCTTGCTATCAAAGCACCAATAAATGCTTTCCCTGCACCCCTGCACACAGTGCCCACTTGTTCTTCCCTTTGTCTTGAATAAGGTGCAGTTTTTCACTGCCATGTTACAGTTGACCCTCATCTTGCCATGTTTTTGTAATTCTTTTGAATTATACCTTCTTGTGTTTATCACCCATACTTCATGTTGTTAGTATTTGAATTTCTAAAACCATATATATGAAACTATATGAATATAGTTTCATATTATTTTAAAATGTATTTTTCCATGAATATTGAATATTTTCTGTAGTTTCCTTTTTTGAGTGTCTAATTTCAAAGTCCTATCTTTTCCTTGTCTGGATTTTTGATAACTTGGTAGGACTTGGTCCTTAAGGGACATGATATCTTGTATCTCGTGCCTCTTGCCAGGAATCTCTTTTTTTGGCAGGGGAGGGGGGTTTCCTTTGGTCATTTCCATTTTCTTTTTCTTTTCTTTTTTTTTAAAGATTTTACTTATTTTTAGGGAGGGGAAGGGAGGGAGAGAAAAGTGTGGTTGTCTCTTGCACACTTCCTACTGGAGACCTGGCCTGTAGCCCAGGCATGTGCCCTTACAGGGAATCAAACCTGTGATCCTTTGGTTCGCAGGCTGGCACTCAATCCACTGAGGCACACCAGCTAGGACTTTTATTTTATTTTATTTTATTATTTTATTTTATTTTATTTTATTGGTCATCTGGTGTTCCCCCCCCCCCCGGCCCCACCCCCAGCCAGGAATCTTAGCACTAGTATCTTGAGCCAAGGACCAGAAAATTAAAACACATAGAGATCCCTTTCTATCCCAGAGCTTTTTTCTTTCCTCAAGTCCCTGCTTTCCATCTGTTTATTAACCTGTCATTAAGCAAGTGTTCGGCAAAAAGCACAACCATAAGTTTCTGAGGTTTCCTGATCCCTGTCCTCACACCTGCCCTATGGGCCAAGGTGGTGGTATGGGTGTGAGGCCTTTTCCCTTCCTGAATCTGCCCAGACTGCAGAATCCCCAGGTGGGTGTTTCTCATGAGTCCCAGGCATTAGCAGGAGGACCGCATGGCAGTTAGCAGGTTGAGTGGTCTCTCTCAGGTTCCTGCAGGCTCAAGTGGAGGGACCAGGCCACCTGTTCTCCTACTGCAGGGGTCACGGCCATTGCTAGCATCTTCCCTCACTGAAACTGAGCATTGCTCAGAAATGGAACTCGGGCTCTTAGTGGCAGCAGATTGTTCATCTCACTGTAGCTTGGTAAAAGTCCCCATTTTAAACTTCACCCCATAATTGCTGGACCAGAATCTCCTAGGCTGTGGCCCAGACCTAGACAATTGCTCTAGGCAATTGGGCAGCTAGGGCTAACAAACAGTAGGACCCTATGGGAAGAAACTTGGGCCTGCTGCCTGCCATGATGTACCTGTGTGTCCCAACTGCCTCTTGCGTGTCCATTCAATGTGCTGTCCTTCTTGCCTACTCCATGCCAGGCATACTGCACATCCTCCGACCTGGTACCTGTTGCACTGGCTCAGTTCCCCTTCCTCTGGTATTGTGTCCCCTGGGTGCCTTATAAACTGTCGGCTGTGTGATGGGAATAGGGGGTGCAGAGATCTTTTGGTGTTGAGGTGGGGGCTGATTCAGAGCCTCTCTGCCATTGTGAACCAGAGCACCAAACAAGGAGGGGCCTTCGAGTTATGGAGGGGTTCACGGGCTGGCCCACCAAGGACGAAGCCAGGCCAGTGAGGAAGCTGTCCTTCCAGCCCAGCAAGGGAGGCAGGGCTCAGCTGGGTGGTGCTCTAGGGTTGCTGAAGAGAAGTCACGCAAAAGATGTGGAGGAAGCTGTTGTGCCATGGATGAGACGCCAGATTCAGGGATTGTGGGCAGCACAGGACTCCAGGTATCTGGGGGTGGAGAATGGTGGGGACGTGGGCAGGCACATGGTGATGGCTTGGGCCATAACGCCTATTGGATGTTGACTTGAGTTGTTGGGAAAGCAGCAGGAAATATCAGTCTGGGGCACGGCTGAAAGACAACTGACAGGCAATTTTAGACTAAACACATCTCAGGCAGGGCCTTGAGGTGGTCAGGGTGGTCATGTTTTCTGAATGAAATGGCATTTGCTGTGTTGACTATAAGGTAATAATCCCTCATGTTTGCAAGGGGTTCTGTTGCTTGCAATGTGGTTTCCCCTTTGTTATCTACAACTCTGGGTCTTACTATCCCTGTTTTGCAGCTGAGGAAACCGAGGCTCAGTGAAGGTTTTCTGTCCCCTTCCCATCCCAGACTGGATAGTTGTTCTCTTCGCTGTGTGCCCATGCTGAGGTGGAGTCCTGAAATCGCACTTACAGTGTTGGGTAGAAACTTTGTGGGTATGTGTGTTCTCCTGGTCCCACTTTATTCATCTTTATATCCTCGCCGTCTGACTCATGGTCAGTGCTTAATAAGTCTTGGTTGGAAGAAGTTAGCTCTCTAGTGCCTTTCTTGTGACAGCCCAAAGAGGAGGTGGTGCTTTCGCAGGAGCACAGTTACTAGGTTATTTACCCCTCTGAGTACCATGGGTTCACCAAGGTGGGGGCTTGTCTTGGTCTGGGACATGGGTTGAGGGGACTGCTGTGGCTCTGGGCCTCTTAACCAGACGAGGAATTGTCTAGTCCACACTCTGAAATTTTATCATTGGTGGTGTTGGCATTTGGTTTAATTTGAGGGAGTCAGGAGGGATCTTAATATGTGGTGCTTTCCCCTATTGACACCCCTTTATGCTTTGTCAATCAACAGGAGCTTGAAGAAATCCGCAAATGTGGAATGAAAAACTTCCGTAACATCCAGGTTGATGAAGCTAATTTATTGACTTGGCAAGGGCTTATTGTTCCTGTGAGTATTGAACACTTCACTTCTTATCAGATTAATCTCAAGGTGATATGTGTGCTGTTGGGCTTCTCTCTACTCCCAAGGAGACTTTTAGTATAGGCAACCAACATTTGCACAGAGGCGGGCTGTCACTCTAGGGTAATAAGGTAGGGACCATAAGCTCCGGTTCCTGAGGAGAATCCCAACTCTGTGCTGGTTTTGTAACATTCTGGGGGGTCCAGAGCATTTCAGGTCTGTTGTCGTTGACCAGTGAAAGGAGTGGCGTGTGTGTGCGCTCCTGTCTTCCCTGGCTTTTCCTGGCCTGGCCCCATTTGTCTGGATGGGGCCACCTTCTCTGACCTCTCTTGGGAGTTGGCTGGTGTTCCTATCTAGATCTTCTCTTTGCTTTCCTGACTGTGCTTGCTTCTGTGTCTCTAACCCTCTGGACACCTGTGTTCCAAGTTTTATTCCTGGTACCCTTCAGTATGTGCCTCCCATTTGTCTCAAATTCCTTTGCTTCATGCCCCACCTGTTCCCCTCACCCATTATCTTTTCTGAAGCTTGTGCCTCCAGTGTCTTCTCCCTACGGCTCTAAGTCCCTGTTTCACTGACTTCTGCCTTCACACAGGCTCCGGCCTCCTCCAAAGAGAACTCTCCTGTGACCTTACTGCCTTCTTGACTTACTCTCTGCTCTTTCTCCATCCTTTCATCTCCTCACCTCTCAAGAGACTTGTTCTGTACTTCCAGTTTGTGATCCCAGTTTCTCCCATCCCCCAAAACTGCTTCACACCAAACACACAGGCTCCCCTAAGTCCTTGCACCTCTGGCTCAGCAGCTCTGGAACCGTGCACCCCACTTACCTCATGAACCTTTGGAGCCCCCTCTTTGTCCCAGCCCCCTGATCTGTAACCGGTGTGCCATTTGCTCCTGTCCTACTGCTTCTTAACTCTTAGACATGGGTACAATTAAGTCTCTCACCTTTCTCTCATTCCATTTTGTTTCTTGGGATCGCTGCTTCTTCCAGAATCATTGGTGACTAGGTTTTTACTATTTGTGAAGGAATCCCATCTTTGCTTCTGTTCCTGCCTTCCCCCCCAGAGCCATACCATCTGTGTACGAGGTGGCCCAACTTGACATTCTGCCTTCTAAACTCCTGTTTCACAACTGGGACCTTCTGTGTGTTCCCTTTCCTTCCTGTTCTAAAGTCCCTGGATCTTGAATGGCAAATGTTGGGTTTGTAGTTTATTCTCATAATCATTTGGGTAACAAAGGAAAGATATGCTTTATAGTCTTCCAGTACATGATCAAAAATTTTAAGTCTCGGAGCACTCGCTCTGGTTTTGAAGATGAAGTCTTGTAGATTTCTCCAGGCTCGGAGGTGGTGAGGCTGAGAGCACAGGGTAGTGGAGAAGCCCCTGAGTTGGGGGGGTTGGGGGTCAGCCCTTCCCCACCATAGGTGCCTTTTAGGTGCTGAATGGAAGGATGGCCAGGATCATCTGACCACCTGGCCCTTTTTCTTTTTCTTCTTTTTTTAAAAAAATACTTATTTTAGAGAGACGGAAAGGAGAAAGAGGGAAACATCCATGTGAGAGAGAAACATCGATCAGTTTCCTCTCTCATGTACCCCAATGGGAATAAACCTGAAACCCAGTCATGTGCCCTGATGGGGAATTGAACTGTCAGTGTTTCACTCTGTGGGACAACACCCAACCAACCAGGCCATGCCTGCCGGGGCCCACCTATCCCTTTTTCTTTCTTTTAAAAAAGTTTGTTTTTTTTTTTTTCCCAGTACAAAGCCTATTTTCTCCCCTCCCTCCCTCCTTTCCTCCCTCCCTCCCTTGTTTCCTTCCTTGCTTCCTTCCTTCCTTCCAATTGTTATTGTATTTTTTTCCATTATACCCTGCTCCCACCAGCAATCACCGCACTCATTCATGTGTCCTTTTTCCTTTGGCCCTTTCCTAACTGAGATTTTGTATCCTACTGATACAAGAAGTAAACACGTAGTCTGGATCATTTGAAAACTGATAAGAATGAATGGGATGGCGTGAAGTAGTCAGGCTTCCCTGTGTGAGCTTGGTGGCATGAAAGACTGCAGACTGGCTCCGAGAGTAGATGGCTGTCAGGCAGGCTCTAATCTGAGTGTACACCAAGGACTCTCTCTGGTGGCATGTTGGCAGAGCCTGTAGAATGGGCTATAGTCTCATTAAGCCCAAGGCGGTGACTGGTTGGTAGAATCCCAGCGTGCTTGAGCCAAGACTCTTGAGAGCGTCCAGGCCCAAGCCTCACCTTCCATTTGGGGATACTGTGTCCATGGCCAGGGCTGCCCTCACCCCTGCTCACGGTGCCTCTTTCCATTCCTCTCTCACTTCTTCCTGTAATCACTGCCCGGGGCCCCAGGGTTGGTGTGAGGAGAGTTTTTATGAAGCAGTTAGCAACTGATTCTTCCAGAGTCTCCACTAGTACCTCACACCTGGGCCTCAGGTCTTCCTGCACAGTAAGGGCTAGGTCAGTATGGGGAATCTTCTACCTGAACTCACCTGGGGTCTACTGTGCTGGGGTGAAAGCAGGACCAGGCTGATGAAGTCATGGCACCCTAGAAGTGTACCTTTACAGCAAGGGCTGGTCCTCGGGGGGCTGCCTAGCAAATACCCTAGCTGTGGTTCAGAGAGAGGGCAGACTGACCCCCAGGCAGGGAAGATGGGAGGTGAGGCTGAGAGGCACTCTTTAGAGATGCCTCATCTTTACCATGGCAGTTTAGGTGTTTAACCTTTAAACACGTGTTTTTTTAATATAATTTTTCATTTGAAATTCAGATGTCATGTCTAAGGAAGAAAATAATCCCATAATCACTTCATGAAGAAATCACTCAAGCAGAAACTGTACCCTTTAAACAATAACTTCCTGTTCTACTGCTCCCATACCCTAGTAACCCCATATCTACTGTTTCTATGAATTTGCCTATTATAGATTTTCTATTAAAATTAGTCATATAATATATGTCCTTTTTTTATCTGGCTTATTTCACTTAGCATAATTTCTTCAAAGGTCATCAATGTTGTGCCTTGTATCAAACATTTTTATGGGTGAATAATATTCCATTATGTGTATATAGCATATTTTGTTTATCCATTCATCTGTCGATGGAAACTAGGGCTGTTTCTACCTTTTGACTATTGTGAATAATGCTGTTATGAACATTGACGTGTAAGGATCAGCTTAAGTTCCTGTTTTCAATTCTTTTGGGTATATATGTAAGAGTAGAATTGCTGGATCATATGGTAATTCTATGTTCAACAATGATAAGGAACCACCTAACTGATTTTCACAGTAGCTGCACCATTTTACATTCCCACCAGCAGTGTACAAGGGTTCCAATTTTTCCACATCCTCACCAATGCTTATTTTCTCTTTTAAAAAAGTTTTAGCTATTCTAATAGATGTGAACTGGTATATTATGGTGTTTTTTCCTCCAGTATTATTTATTTTATTGTATTCCATTACCATGTATCCCCCTTATACCTCCTACCACATACCCCCTGCCAATCACTACACTATTATCCATGTCCATGAGTCCTTTTTCCTTTTTGCTCAATCCCTCTCTCCCCAAACCCCACCCAGCCCCACACTCAGAGCTGTTATATTATGGCGGTATTGATTTGATTTGATATTGACTAAGGATGTTGAACATCTTTTCATGTGTCTTTGGAGAAATGTCTATTCAAGTACTTTGCCCTTTCTGTTTTCTTTAGAGAGAGAGAGAGAGAGAGAGAGAGAGAGAGAGAGAGAGTGTGTGTGTGTGTGTGTGTGTGTGTGTAGAGTAGCTTTAGGTTCACGGCAACATTGAGAGGAAGGTACAGAGATTTTCCATATACCCTCTCCCTCCATACATGCGTAGTCTTTGTCAACATTCCCTGGAAAAAGGTACATTTGTTATAATTGGATGTACATTAATGCATCATAGTCATGTAAAGTACGTAGTTTTTATATCAGGGTTCACTCTCGGTATTGTACATTCTATGAGTTTAGACAAATGTATAATGGCATATATCCACTATTCTAGTATCATACACAGTATTTTCATTGCCCTAAATTCTCTCTGTTCTACCTATTCATTCCTCTCTACCCTTCTTCCTCCCCAACTCCCATCACTCTTTGGCAACTTCTGATCTTTTTACTGTTTTCATAGTTTTGCCAATTCCAAAATGTCTTGTAGTTAAAATTGTACAGTATGTAGCCTTTTTCACCTTGGCTTCTTTCATTTAGTAATAAGCATTTAAGATTCCTCCATGTTTTTTCATGGCTTGATAGCTTTTTTCTTTCTTTTTTTCCCTTAATCACTGAATAGTATTCATTGTTTGAATGTACTACAGTTTATTTACCATTCGCCTACTGAGGGACATTTTGGTTGCTTTCAGGTTTTGGCAATATGAATAAAGCTGATGTAAGCATGCAGAACTTATTGATTAGAGAGAAAGAGAAGGCGGGGAGAGAGAGAGAGAGAAACATCGATTTGTTTGTTGTTCCTCTTATTGATGCATTCATTGGTTAGCTCTTGTATGTTCCCTGACCTGGGATCGAACCCACAACCCTGGCATATGGAAATGGTGCTTTAACCAACTCAGCTACCTGGCTAGGGCTGCTATAAACATTTTCAGTTAGGTCGTTTGTCTGTCTGTTTTTGAGTTGTAGTTCTTTATTCTAGATATTAAACCCTTATCGGGTATGATTTGCAAATATTTTCTCCCATTCTGTGGGTTGTATTTTCACTCTCTTGATTATATACTGTGATGAAAAGTTTTAAATATTGTGAAATCCATTTTGTCTATTTTTTTCTTTTGTTGCCTATACTTTCAGTGCCATATTAAGAAAACATTGCCAAATCTAAGGTTATGCAGGTTTTCCCCCCATGTTTTAAGAATTGTTATAGTTTTAGCTCTTAAACTTGGGTCTTTGATCCATTTTATTTATTTATTTTTATTAATTTTTTTGTTTTAGTCCTTACCTAAGGACTTTTATTTTTCATT